TCAAATCTAATTTATGACCACCAAATGTCATCTTAAAATTTGAATGAATTGGCTATGAACAGGCTGAGTATAGTCGTATACTTCTTATGGCTTAGTCTTGCCTAAATGGCTCAGCCAGTGACGGAGCCAGAAAAACGGTCCAGGGCGTCGGAAATCAACTTTATACAAAATGAAAATGGTGGATCGTTTTTAGACAATGTCCAGGTTAAATGTTTTATATGTAGTTCAGATAAATAGGCACTCGTAACAATATGGTAGATTGTCTTTGCTCTATTTCGGAGTCATGTCACGTTGGTAATGAGTTAATTATAATCTTTTTCTAAAATTTGTGAAAATAATCCATATTATGCATCAAATTTATTTTACGTTTAGATAGTGCTCATTTTCTAGAAGTCATAACCTTTTCAAACGAGTTACGAGAGATGTAATATATCAAATCGAATGTATTTCAAAGCTCTACACTCTCAAAGTTTCATCCGCTCGGCTCAACCGGATGAAAAATGTGCAAGGAGGAATTAATTATATACCCCTGAATATAATTAGTGTCCGACTCCAAACTTTTTACAAGGTGGTGGAACTGGTGGGATGAACAGGGTTAGATTTGACCCGATTGCTCTGATTACTTCAGGTGTTTAGATTAATTTTTTTTAGGAAAAATTGATAGTAATAATCCCAATTATTGGCGGTCCGCTCATAATAATCCCAACTATTGATTATTACAGAATAATCCCAACTTTAGGGACCTTCCGCCAATAATGGTCCCTATGAATAAATTCTTGTAGTTTCTAAAGTGGATGAGATGAGATATAACAAGTAATCCCTATAAATAATCTCAACTTTTAATTTTTACGCTTAATTTCTATCTGAAATTTACTTTTTATAGAGGTAATATATGGTCATGGACCATTATTGGCGGATAGTTTATATAGTTGGGATTATACAAAAATAATCAATAGTTGGGATTATTTTCAGCGGACCGGCAATAGTTGGGATTATTATTTTCAATTTTTCCTTTTTTTTAACCAGAATCTAATTGACCAGTTTTGGATTTGAGCGAGCCATGTATATCTAGAGGTTTATCTAGAATATAATGTTTTATCTAGTTAAAATTTAATTACAAAGGTATGTGTCTTATCTGAAAGAGAAAATAATTATAAATAATACGGAGTACCAATTATCTTTCATAAATTAAGGGGTGTTTGGAACTGCTTCTGCTTCTTTTTTAAAAGCAGAAGCAGAATCAGAATCAGTTTTCAGAAGCTGGTACCCCCAGCTTCTAAAAAAACTGATTCTGAGAGTAAATTAGAGCTCCAGAAGTGCTTCTGGAATTTCACCCAAACACTCCAGCTTCTGCTTCTGCTCCCTGAAGGAGCATAATCAGTTTTGAGAATCAGATCCAAACACCCCCTTGAATAATACGAACTATGTAAATACTCCGTATATCTATGGGTGGACCGGTTCCGGTTCGGGCCCGGTTCGGGCCTGGGCCCGGCCGGGCCTCGGTTCAGGAATGGGAGGCCCGGAACCAGCCCAGGTAATCCCGGGTCCGGGCCGGGCCGGGCCTCAGTTCTATTTTTGCTAATTAACCCCCAACCCTCCCCCCTCACCCCCAAACCACCTCAAATGGCCCAAAATACCCAGCCCAACCCAAAAACTTAAAAATTAATTCAAAAAAAAAATTAATTTGGCCCGAACCGGGTCCGAACCGGCCGGGCCGGTTCGCCAATCCTAGGGCCCGGGCCCAAACCGCACAGTAACCGGGCCGGGCCGACCCGAACCGTCCCCCGGACCGGTTCCCGGGCCGGTTCAAACAGTAACCGGGCCGGGCCGCCCGGCTCGAGTCCATCCCTACGTATATCAACTATTTATAGTATTATTCTACGTATTTTTCTCCGTAGTAATTTTTAATAATATCGACTATTTGAATATACTCCGTATATCAAAAGTAATACGGAGTATAAAGTAAATCTTTACTAAAAGTTCAATTATTTAACTCATCAAAACTTATATTAAAATATCAAATAAGTGATTGTATTTCCAAATATTCATTATTTGATGATTTGAAATTAACTTTTGATGTCTTAAGTGACTGGATTTCTTGTAGAGAAATGACTCTATTTTATTTTTGATTTACATTCAGATAATTGGTATTATTAAAGTTATTTCTAAAGTATGTACAAGTATTATTCCTGGTTCATCAAAGATAGTACGTTGATATAATTTAAAGTCTATTTTTTCTATCTTAAATAAACTAAGAATTAATTCAGTGGGGTAAAATCTTTGATGCGTTCCTAAATATGTATGGAGTGTGTTTGAAATTTCTTGTATTGAATGGTCACAAGATTCGACCAAATTAATGGCTTTAGTTCGCAAGATTAAATAATAAAAATATGAAAGCTGAATTTCAGTGGAAGATAAATCCGACGAAAGGTCTCATCACTTTCCAACGCTGGTAGTTTCTATTTTCAAGAATAAAATTTTGTTTTTTTTTCGCAATATATGGAGTTTGAAAGGAATAAAATTTTGTTTTTTTTCGCAATATATGGAGTTTGAAAGATAATAATGATGACATTCTATATTTGTATCCTATAGTATTGTGAATGAGCTACATATTTTGTGTGTGGACTGTGGAGTACTGTAAAACTAAATTTGGTTCTCACATAAAAAGGGAAAAAGGTTAATGGACCATTCTACCATTTTCAGTCTATCACTTAAATTTTTCTATTAAAAATAGAATCATATAAGTACACTTACTTTTAAAATATAATCAATTAAGTCAATTTGACCTCTTATGACACGTTATTTTTTAAAATTAAATTAGGGCTATTCACAAATCTTACAAGAACTCATAAATTTGAAAAATCATGTAATAATTGTATAGTTGTAAAAATAGATAAATATTTTAATAACATTAAAATAAAATAAAAAATGGAAAACTAAAAAATGAAGTGAAAATGTAAAAAAATGTAAAATAAAAACGTAAAAACCTTTTAAACTGATGTAGAATATACAAATAAATTCAAAAATGCAAAAATGTTGACTTTAGTATGTTGAAAAATTTTCATCATTATTATCTTTATTTCTTCAAATTTAAACAGGTTTTAAGTTTTTTACACTGCGTATAAAAAACCTATTATTGCAGGTCAAAAATTGATAAAATGATCAAATCAATCAATTTTTAAAGTAAGTATACTTATATCATTCTTTTTTTTAATATAGAGATTTAAAGATAGATTGGAAATACGTATAAGTAGAAAGGGTTATTGACCCCTTTTCCACATAAAATGATATGAAATCTAAATATTATCGAATCATTAATCTTTATATATACTAGATACTTTTAAAATTTACCTTAAACTTGATTATCGAATCATTAATCTTTATATATACTCCCCGTTTCGCAAACAAAGTCACGGTTAGACTTCTCTAGGATTAAGGAAATAAATTGATTTTACTGTAGAAAACACTGTTTAGACACTGTTCAGACACTGTTTGACACTTTTTAACACTGTTTGGCACTATTTTGAAGTACATTTTTTTGCCAAATTAGGAAATAAGGGAAGTATGACTTTGTTTTTGAAATATTCAAAAAAGGAAAGTATGACTTTGTTGGTGAAACAGGAGTACTACATAATTTTAAAATCATACTCCTTGGATGTGTGATGTGTCATTTGCATATTTATGGGAGGGACCAATTCCTCAAAAAAGCATAGTGGTGGTGCAGTTCAGGTGCTAGCAACAGACACCTGTAATTGTAATTACAGTGGATGAAAATTGAAGGCAGAAAGGTACGGTGGATGAAAATTGAAGGCAGGTGTAACTAACCTCGATGTCATTGTAATTGCACAAACTTAATTTCTTCATTATATTTGCTTAATTAGTTATCTAAGAACTGAGCCTTGAGAATTGAGAAAGCAAATTAACAAAGTTCCTAAATCGAATATAAAAAACATGATTTGTCGGAAGAGGAGTATCGATTAAGTTGTCCTATAGTCGGCTATAGATATGAGTAATTACTACGTACCGAATAAAATGTTATGATATTATCATGACATTATTAAAACTGCATCCAACCGTACAAAGTATTGTCATATTAATCATGACATTAGAAGTGTCAAATTAAATAGGAGTAATATGATCCAACCCTGCAAAGTATTGTCATATTAATGTCTATATGGAAGTACTGTTTTAAGATGAAATTACTTCTATGAGAAATTGTTCTAAGTAGGAATAAAAAAGTTTTAGAATGCAAAAAAGGAGTACAATTATGCGTGCTGTTATTCATGATTTAGAAGTTGTTATTGTCATGATTTGAAAATACTGTCATTAAAGACAATAAATAGTGTCATGTTAATGCTTAATAGTGCAATTATTTTTGCAGTAATGACTGCAAGATTGCATTAAATAATGTCATGTTGCTCATATTTTAAGAATAAAAACACGACATTCATATTTTCCAATTCTTGAATGTGTTCACTCATATTTTGGGAAAATATCCAACATTTCAAGAGAAAAACATTATTGCAGTATCATTTAAAGAAATCACCTTATTTTTATTATTGTATTAGGAAATTTCCCTAACATATTTGTAGAAACTCTTATAGTCCGTTTGGTAATATCCAAATCGGCTGCATTGGCTGATTCTGCTGAAATTTATGAAGTTATGGCTGAAGTGGTTGGATTGGCTAATTCTGCTGATTTATGAAAAAAAATAATTAAAATATATTTTATTAATTAATTAATGAAAACTTATATGAAATAATTATTACAATGATCATGTACAGTAATTTTAGCCAATACAATCAGGAAAGAAACTCCAACCTTACCTTTTCTTATTATTGCACAATCGAGCGTGCGAAATCAAAAGTTACATGTTTAGTGAAAAAGTTGACTGATAAACATGAAAAACTAAAAGAAGAGGATCTCCAAACGGCCCCAACCATAACTCGTGCAATATAATAGAACCGGGTTAGCGCTACCTAGCTTGTGGAGTTGTGGTTATAAATCTGAGCCAACGGAGAGCATAGCATGCACTATGTGATTTCCAAGTATTCCTAGCTAACTATATATATGGCCTAATATAACTAATTAATTGGCCTCTTTCTGAAGGCAATTTCTCTCGGTTGATCCTCTCAAATATTTGATTGTTTTTATTAATCATATTTCATATTTGTATATATGTTGATCGTTCTTTGAGGTGATTGGTTTGAGTTGTGGGATGAGAAGAAGCCAAGGCAAGTGTTGATCAAGATGGAGAAGCAGGGCACGTGCATTACCAACTCATCATGCATGTACTATACCCTTAATTATTATAATTAATACTACACATTTATTAATTGTCTACTCACTTACACAAATAAATTAAATATATATAGTTAGTGGCTTAATGAGTTAATGATCTGAGTTGGTATTTCATGTGTCCGCCTTCGCCATCATGACCACTTTGCCTTTATGTTAATGGTGGATTCCTGCAAGCATATCCACTCCAGCAGCCATATCATCCATCATCTTCATAAATTTGCCTACATGCAGATCATATCCTTAATTATGAAGGTAAATCATTTGAAACTATTTTTTATTTTTCATTTCCGATAATTGTACTGGAATGACCTTGAAAACATATACTGAGATACTAGCCAGAAACTAAACAATAATCAAACTTGTAGTTCTTGAAAACTTTACTGCTTTAACTTTCTTGATCAATTGTGATAAAATTTTGCTAGCTAATAATTATTTTGATTAATATGTATTATTATTTATGGAAGTCATAGACATTATGCTTTTATAAGAGTAAATTTACAATTATAAATATTGTGTATATAAATATATCATTAGTCAAAGTTTAAAGTTAGAGATGAATAAAGTTAAGAGAAAATTCGATCTTTAAATTAAAGAGGACTAAACAATGATAAGACTATCATTATTTTATTTCCAAAATAAGACTCGTTCACTCCTAATTTAGAAAGTTTTAATCAATTTTTTCTCTTTTTTTTTTTTTGAAGGAATCAATTTTTTCTCTTAATAGAACTAAATAAGCCCCATTAAAGGAATAAAACACACTTAGTCCCACTTTTGCACTTTGTTTATGTTTATTCTATTTTGAGCAATTTCTATAAATTTAAGAGTTTTTTCCTAAAATATTAGTAATAATAATTTGTGGATAAAAAAGTGACTATAAAGTTACTAAGAGTAAGTTTTATAATCACTATGATGCAATTTGAATACAATTATAGTCACAAAAGTTACTAGAGTCATACTTTTATCCTAAAGTTAATTAAAGATGTTTAAGTATGAATAGGGAATGGAAGGATATATACTAAAAAATAAAAAAGATCGTAGGATCTTATAATTGGACTGGAATTTTCTGGTCTGGTCTTTTAAGTCTAGTTTGATTTGAACTGATCTAATTTGATTTGGTAGATGTCTGGTTTAAGTGTACTTTACAATTGTCAAAGTCTAGTCTGGTTTGATTTCTTCTAGTTTGTTTTAGTCTGCGAATGAAACCTAGTCTAAGTAAAATGACATGGATATATATTTGTCACACCTCATTTGATTTATTTTGGTATGTTCTAGCGTGCGACTCAAATCTAGTTTGTGGTCCGTTACATAGTGATTATCTCACCTTATTTTGTCCCACCCTTGAGGCCAATCAGTCGGAAATTTGATCATGACTTCGATCCCAAGTGTGTAAATTGTGGCGGTTCTCTCTCTAACTTCATTCCTCCTATTTTTGTTTTTGTTTTTTGGGAAAAGTGTCAAACAGGCCCCCTACTAATACGAAAAAGTCAATTAAATCCCTGAACTCTAAAACACCCAATTAAACCCACGAACTATAAAAAACGAGACAAAACAGTCTTTTTAACATGTAATTAACCAATTCCTAGTTCCATTAGTCCACGTGTCACACATGTGTCGCCACGTGTTGCCATTTGTGGCCACCTGTCGGCTATCGCCACATGTAAAGGTTTACGTGGAATCAGTTAATTACATGCCAAAAGAACTGTTTTGCCTCGTTTTTTATAGTTTGTGGGTTTAATTGAGTGTTTTTTGAGTTCGGAGGCTTAATTGACTTTTTCGTTTTAGTGGGGGGCCTATTTGACACTTTTCCTTTTTTTCTCTTTTTTAAGATTGTGATTTCTCGCATATTACATATATTTCCTATTAAATGCAAACATTTGTAATTTAGAATAGTTTCAAATACGGACCTACTCTTCAATCTTTATGAGTGTCACAATGATGCCATTGAACTATAAGGTACACGTTTGACTTCTCCCATTTTAGTTAGACATCTTTGATTTCTCACGCCGATAATGTTAAGTTTTGCCGAATCATATATTTATACTATGACAAATGGTATGTATAGGTAGGGCTGAGCAAAACCCGATCCGACCCGAAAAACCCGATATTTTTTTTGAATATTATCCGAACCGAAGTGGATATCCGACCCGAAAAACCCGAAACCGAATATCCGATTAGTATTGGGCCTAGACCGGGTGGCGGGTAGGGTTTGTGAAATCCCAACCCGACCCGCCCGAATATCCGAAATATATGTTAGTGTGTACTTTGAATATTTAAATTAATACTTGTGTTCAATTATTTGTATAATTATTTGTGCAATTTGTATTCAATTATTTGTGTAAATTGAATGTGTAGTGAACTAGTGTGTGTACAATTTTTGTTAAAGTGGCATTCCAACACGTTAATTAACTATCCAATTATAATGTGTTTTGATATAACCAAAATATCCAAAATATATTAAATTACGTAGTGTGTACTTTGAATATGTTAAATTTATACTTGTGTTCAATTATTTGTGTAAGTATTTGTGCAATTTGTGTTAAATTATTTGTATAATTTGGAAGTTTAGTGCACTAGTGTATACAATTTTTGTCAAAGTGGCATTTAAACACTTTAATTATCCAATTATAATTTTTTTAATATAACCGAAATATCCGAAACCCGACCCGATATCCGATAATATCCGACTTGAAAATATCCGAAATACCCGATTTGAAATATCAAAGGGTCGGGCCTAGTATTTAAATTAAAAAACCCGAACGGGTTTAGGGTTCGCAAACCCGACCCGCCCGAACCCGACCCGTGCACACCCCTATGTATAGGTAAAAGTTTTTTTGTTCAAAAAATTTATCATAAAGTATAAAATTTGTAAGCTTCACATAAATATATTCATTAGAATAATTGGTCCAAGTTTAGAATATAGCATTAATCAGAAAAATAAAAGACGATTACATACAAATGGCCTGGTCAAAATCATGAAGTATTGGATTGGGTGTGATTGTGTGAATAGCTTGCAAACCAAGCATATTCCCAAGGAATATGGATCCTCTCCAGTAACTGGATGCTTCCAGCTGGAGAGAGTTAGAGATGAGGGAAATTATGGTGGGGTATGTTGGTGAGTAAGATAGAGAAAAAGATAGAGATAGATAGGAAGAAAAAAAGAAATGGATGAGAAATGGAGAGGAAAAAATGGAGAGGAGCTGGACTCATTCCCAAGCGTACGTACAACACAAAAATAATGTGGTGGGTGACTGAATGTAAACAATATACGGAGTATAAAGATAAAATATTACTCCGTACTAGCAAACATATTGGGGTGCTTGATAGTTGGTAAGTTGGTTGGCTATCACTTATCAAAATGTTTGGAACCAATTCTGCTTTTGTTTTTTTTAAAGCAGAAGTAAAATCACAATCAATTTTCAGAAGCTGGTATCCCTTAATTTCTAAAAACATTGATACTGTGAGTAAATTATGGCACCAGAAGTACTTCTGCACTTCCACCCAAACACTCCAACTTTTGCTTCTACTCTGTGAAAAAGCAGAAGCATTTTTAAGAATCACATCCAAACACCCCCATCATCCTATCATAATTGCTGATTTGACCTTGTTAATCAGCTATGTAGACATTTCCATCCATCCTATTATTCTTTTAATAAAAACCATGCATCTGCACCCATCTTGGTACTAAATAAAAATGTTTTAGACTATAAGCTGTAACAATATATTAATACTAAACCAATAATAAGAAAAACTTGACATTGCAACCTATTTTGGGTTAAATTAAACTTTGCACCTCTTTTTCAAAAATACTAATGTGTGTACCCTTCCATTCAAAAAGTTATGAAGGAATAAGGTGCAAGCAATAAGGTACAATGGAATGGGATGCACACATTAACTTATTAAAAATGATATAAATCTAGTTTTGTATGAATATCATTTGAGGTGCAAACGCAACATCACTCTTGTAATACTACTAATTACTACTACATCTGTTCCATGTAAAAGTTACATTGCGAATTTTGTAGATTGACCCATGATAAAAACAAATTTTTCCTCACAATATTCTTAGAATTAAAAGTTAAAATTTACAATCTTACACTACTTTAAAAGATTATTAAATTGCGGAACTCAAATCTAAATATAGTAAAAATTTGATGCATAAAACTCTATATGAAAAGTTAATTGTGTTGACAAGTCGTTCTTAGTAAATAATTAAACTCCAACTTTCATTTTGGACAAAGATAGTGATAGTAATTTTGGATCAAAACTAAATCTAAAAGCTTATATAAATGTATGTACAAAGTCAAGTAAATTTAAAAATATTTACATGTCATTATATAAGCTAGATACCATGTAACACTAAACATTCAGTGAGACCCCATTTTTTTAATCTCATATATCATCTATCGGCTAATACAATTAGCTATCAATCAATTGTCAACAACCAATTGCCAATTACTAACACCCTAACGTAAAATAATATGATTATACAAAGCACACAAACACAATGATAAGCATAAAATATTTCCTCAAAGTATGACCACCATATTCACTACTCCTAAAAATAAATTTTAACTATTTTTCTTCTTTTATCACTTCACTCCCATTTTACTCTAATTCTGAGTTATTATTTCTGTCTCTCTGATCTGTCACACACATTAAAATAAATCTTGGATTTTTATGTCAAAAAAGGGCGCATTACATCATCACTTATTCAAAACATGGTGATAACAGTAAATAGATAAACCCAAAGGTATAATGTTTAGTTATAAAAGTGAATTGTTTCAAATTACAAGTGCATTTTTGTGTAAATATTTAATTACACTTATTTTTGTATAAACTATTGATTGCACTAGTGCACATTTAGAATACAATATAATGATGCACTTTTATTTTAGTAATTCCATTAAAAAATTCCATATTTACCATAACACCACCACATTTTGAATTTAAAATTGATCTGGTCCTCCTACTTTATCAAATCAATGGTCGAGATTTTTGTTTCACGTGTGAAACATTTTGTATTTGAACACAATTACACACACCGAGTAAAGGTCTGTCATTTCGAGTTGAACCTAAGTTCTTCTAGGTTAAATTAGTGGTTCACGTTGTTTGATTTGCATGTTTTCTATTATGTGACAAGAAACCTTGGTTTAGATTCACTTCATATAACTTCCAATAACCCAGATTTGGAAAACCTCAGGATAGGGTACATAGGTAAAATTCTCTTTACAAGTAATTTAACATGTTCATCATGGTTAACCTTCATCCAAAAATATTACTACATTCATATGAGGTAACCTAATACCTATTCAAACAATAACTTTATGTATGCACTTGAGTTTAATAAGTTTTAGAAAATCTAGACTCAATTAAATACAATAATAGGCTTACATAAGTGTGTGTGTATATAGTACTATATCCATGCGATCGAGCCATAATACCCGTGATTAAAATGTAAATGTAGAAATCTAATTTGGGATGGACTGTAGAATAATTATACTAGACTTAAATAATAACAGAATAAACTAAATATATAAGAAAATGAAAAAGTTGTCCAAGGCCTTTAGCCACCACCTTCCCTTGATATTATGTATTGATACATGCATTTTTTTTTTAATTTTTCCGTGTGTTTTAATGGAATAGTAAATAAATAAATTACGAGTAGTTATTCAATTTTCACCAATGGTTCAACAAACTTTTCTGCACCTCTATAACTTGATCGAAGATATATGCATCCATGCATGCATTTGGCTAATAAAATCCACCGGAGATTATTAAAGGTTAGAAAAACGGATGTAAGCTTTGTAGGAGTTGATAAAATTAAATGAATGATGATAACAACATTGCGCCACCCGCCTCCGACGCCTTCACCGGAAGCGGTTGCCGAACCGGTGATCGTGGTCAGCCAAAACTACTTGGCACCATATGTGATAGATTTGAACGTTACTAGGAAGATGATGATGATGTTAATGGAAGGCACTACCATCTCGGTCAACGACATCTATGGCGATCAATGGTTTAAGGTTAGGGGCAAAATGTTGAGCTTGCGTGACCGCCGTGTTTTGTTTGACGTTGCTGATAACCCCCTCGTCACATTCCAACACAAGGTATGCAATCAATTTTTCTTACCAATTATTCATTATTGGCATGACTTCCCAAACAAGAGGTGATAATTCGAAATTACATGCTACCTCCATTCTTAAATAAATGCAACATATTGAATTTTACACTATTCACATGTTCTATTTTGATTGCGTTTGATTTATTAATGCATTAATATATATTTTGAAAAAAATATTGTTAAATTTGTCTCATTGTAAATTTTCTAAATCTATTTTTTTTAATTTTTTACTAATAGAGAATTATATATATTAATGGTCAAAGTTGTGCCTCGTCAAATGTGGAATGTTGACCGCTGCATTTACTTAAGAACGGAGGAAGTATAACATATATATGGGTAAGTTAGGACTACACCAATCAAGGTTTATTTATTAATATGTAAAAATATGCTTGGTGAATATATTGATTCTTTCTAGGTTAAGGTGTTGAGAAAATTGGACGAATGAAGGGAATACATGATTTTTGGCAGAATTGAATTGTAGGTAGCTCTAAAGCATCTTGAAGGTGAACATGTGATTTATCTTATATCGGTGTCATGTGAAAGAGATAAAGAGAATTAAGGAGTATGATTTAATTTTAATATAGAAATTCTATTAGTTCAAGGATGTAAAAATATGTTAGCTATCAATCACAAACCTGAAAAAAGAAAAGTAACAATCTATGACTATAAAGTTTGAAGACTTATACTATCATAGGTTGTGAGTTTTAGTTTTTTATTTTTATTTTTATGCTAAGTTTGGACAATGTTGTGTTTACAAAAGTTTTTTATATTTTAACAAATTAAACAATAGTAACATATAAAAGTTGAAGTAGATGTTTAAGGCCTTAAATTGATTCCTCAATGGTGAAGTTCTTAATTAATTATGTTCACACCCTTAGCTTCATAGAGATGTTGATTGATCATTAACCTATATTTCAATGTTTCACTTAATTTACTTTACCTCATTATTTCCTCCACTTCAAAAAAATAATATTCACTTCAAGGATCAAAATTTGTTAATTTTAATCATTGACACTTAAATTAATAAAATATTTTAGTTTTTTATTATAATACTTATCATTTTTTACTTTATATTAAAGACACTTTAACATGATTGGCAAAGTAGGAATGAATATTATGTGTAATCACTAATCAGTACCCCTTTTTAAAATACTAAAGTAAAATAGTTCAAGATTCAAAAGGAAAAGAAATGACAATGGAAAAAACAATTCTACATCGAAAGAGAAGACAATATTCTAGATTTAGCAAATATATTTTCTTTTCAACTGAATTGGGGATCTGCTCTTGATGAGTTGAGTATTTGAATCTAATGGAAACGATGATTGCTTGAATAATCTTTACCTTGTTGAATGGTCAGAAGCATTGATCTTATCCATTTCCGTATGAAAGGATTGACCTGATCATTCTCATTCATATTAGTTCAAATAAGATCATTCTCATTCATATTAATGTGCCAAACGATTAGGTATTGTATTTGATCAAGTACTTAAGTATTACAAAGTAAACAATATACAAAAAAAAATTGTCATTCTCGTGAAAACAGGAAAATGTAGTGACATTTTGGTAAATAAATCTATTTCCAAACACTGTGAAAATGTGCATCGTTACGTTTAATTTGTTAGTGTCATAAACGTAAATTGCAAGACTTAAAGATTGTGATGAATTTAATTAAAAACGCATGCACATATATATCCTTGCAGCTACTAACTGCACATAGAAGATGGATAGCATACAGAGGAGACAGCACAGATGAAAATGATGTACTCTTCACTGTTAGACAATCATCACTAATTCAAGTCACATCTGATTCCAAGACAAAACTTGAAGTGTTCATGGCACATAACATGGCCAAAGAAGGTAATGGTGTGTGTGATTTCTACGTCAAAGGCAGTTGTTGTGAAACTTCTTGTGACATTTTCATCGGAGGGACTAAGACTATGATTGCTCAGGTTGGTGATACCGTGATAGATTAATTAATTAATTAATTAATTATCTAATATTTTTCTTCAATTAGGTATTATGACTAATACCTTGGTGAATATAATGATAGATTGAGGCATTTAGACAACTTTCAATGGTTATGCTTAATAGAGTCAAACTAAATTGGTAAAGCATTGGTTTGTAAATATTTAGCGGTTCAGTAACATAACAATGAAATTAGATATGGCCTGGTGATGAATTGTATCCTGCAAAATCTACCATATTAGTATAAGATATTTTAGGTGTAAATGGTGTAATACTCTATACCGAATGCATATCCACATCTATATTATTTTGATATTAAATTATTATTTTCATATTTATAAAAAATACTTTAAAATAATTAATAACAAGAGTAGTTAATCCAAACGTGACACAAAATAGTAGTTATTTTTAATAAGCCATGATTAAAATAATTCTATTCTTGAAATCACATATACTTGATCCTAGGTAATTATTAAGTCTAACTGATATCTTTATTCGTAAAATGATATCTACATGTAATAATACAATTAAATTTCACATTTAATGATACTTACTAGACATTTGCTAGGGATAGTTTTCTTACAAATATATCATAAGTGACAAAACAATAATGCGTTATTAAATTTTAAATTTTTTGTGATATCAGGTATGTGTTATATAACACTAGGAAATTAAAAGATACAAATATGATGAAATATGAGGTATGATTATCAACATTTAATTTCAGATAACAATGAACCGGTTTACCAAATCAAATATCTATTTTATACAAACAGTTAACACAATTAGGCGATCAAGAAAAATATATTCTGAAAATCATTTTTTAGCTAACAAGCTAGTTTTAACTTTAGATATATTTGTATGTTTGTGCATGTCTGATCAATATAGTACGGAGTATTAAATATCACCATTTTACATGCAGATGCACAGAAGTCAAAGTTTCTTTAGTGCGTATCTTGGAAAAGACAATTTCACGATGTCCATTCGTCCAAATGTTGATTATGCCTTCATTGTTTCACTTGTTGTGATTCTTGAAGAAATTAATAGTGAGAGGAAACGCCAAGAACTGGTGATAAAATCTTGTGGCCTTTTCGGTTAATATATGTATGTATAACAATAATCAAACACATTAAAATGCTTAAAATATAATATTGTACAAATCTCAATTAAATGATCTCACAAACATAGATTTTATGTTGATTACCCGCTCACTATCACTGATTTGATGCATATAGTTCAACCAAAGACATATTATGTAGATTTTATGAATTAATTAAATGTTGTAAGGTAAAAGTACGAAATCTTGTTATATTTAAGCATGTGTATCTTCTTAATAAGGGAAAATTCTCAAATAGAAGTAAAAAGCTTTTGAAATTATTCTAAATAGAACTTCATTTTTAAATCTCCAAATTGGAGTTATTACTATCAAATTTGGAAAATACTATCAAATTTAACATCTGGTAATACTAAAACACGGTAATAATTAATAAATGTTTGGCAAATAAAAATATAAAAAAAATCTTTGAATTCAAAAACATTTTTACTCCTATTTAGAGAGTTTTTCTATTATATAATAATTGTAAAATTATTGTTAACAGTTATTATTAGAAAGTCATGTAAACAACTTGAAAACAGTTTTTTTTTAATTAACTAGTAAATTAACAGAGAAGTAGCTAATCTACTTAACTTCCCTGCATCGGCAGCAAAAATTCTGTGCGTGTCGTCTTATCACCAAATAATAAACTAAACTAACATGTAGATATGAAAAGTTCATGACGATCCCACAGGGAGTTTGAGTGATTAACCACTAATTCTCAAGTTCTTAGTATCAAATAATTTTCAACTGAAAAAATAATAATTTGAAATTGCAAGTATGTAAAAAAAATTAAAAAGTAAACAAAGGTTTAGATTATATAAATAAAGATTTCTAATTCCAAGTTTTAACTCATATAAGTTTAATCGATCATTGGGGGTTGAGCAATGCCCACCGAAGTTAGAGGGTTGAGCACGCCCACATAAAGTTTGGTGAAATATTAATTCCAAAGTGTGGTGGCCAACTTACACTAGAACTTAGTCACATATTTCACAAATAGCAAATACATTACTAATATTGTTTGATTAGACTTAGTTTAAGATATAAATGTACATGTATGTATACAAAGAAGATCAATTTATATTACGAATGTGCAAAACTGCAATTGTGGATAAAATTTGAGAAAATAACCTAAATAGAAGTGAAACATAACAAAATTCCGTGAATTTTTATCCTTTTATTCAGTTAAAAGGATTACATAAATCTTTTATTTAGAAAAGAAGACACTCTTAATCCTATTTTAGAATTTTTCCTATGTTTAACACCAATTTTGAGTGATTTCCTATAATGGATTCTTGTTATAATGGACCGAAGTAGATTGATTTGATGTTTTTATTTTGTTGCTTTATTTGTTCCAAAATGATTATTCATTTTTACTTTTTTGATCAACACAATATCATTTTATTATCAAATTTACATTAGCACTTTATAATTCATTATTAGATTTGGTGTTTTCGTATCAATAGAACTTTTATTCTGAATTTGGATATATAAATTTGAAAGAATGGCTAAAGTATTACCGTGAGACTTTCAAATGACAAAAATAAGATCAAGTTTTAAATTGGACAAAAAAGAGACTAAACATTGATAAATGGACTGAAATGCCCTTAATTAAATTAGTCCTAGTAGCCCAATCCAAATTTCTCTTTTCCAGACTTTTGTTCCATCAACGCCTCCTCCATCGCAAATCTCCACAATCACAGGTCTCCTCCAGCCCGGATTTCCTCCTCCATCGCAAATTTCCACCGCCGCAAACGCAGCTCTCGCCTCCGTAACTACCCAGGCTTCTTCTCCTTTATTTTGTCCGCAATCCATCGTTCTCGTTCAACTTCCTTCTTCGTCGAAGTTGTTCATAGGGGTCGATGGAGAGCGGTCGTCGTTGGAAGAGCTCATCGATCGGCGAAGCCAAACTTCTTCATCGGTGTGTTGGCAACATCACCGTGGTCTACCGGCGTACTCGAGCTATGAGCAGTAGCGAGAAGCACGGACTACTGGCGGATAAGGGGCTCGGACCAATGGCGAGAAGCTTGGATTACCGCGTACATCTATTGCTCTCTTAAGATTTCGTCTTGTTCTCCTTAATTTCTTGTGTCTGGAATTCGCAGATCTGGAATGACCGTGAAAATCCAAAGATGAAGGTGGTGGGGAGGTGGTCGGTAGTGGTGGTCGGCGGCGTTGCTGGTTGGGTATGGCGGTTGGGAGGGGGTCGAGGGCGTCGCTAGTTGGGTATGGCGGTGGTCACTAGTGAATCAGTATTGGTCACTGGGCGGAAGGTTTCATCACTAGGCTGCGGGTTTGGTCACCGGTGGGGAAACAGAGGTCACTAATTGGGTGAACACTTGTCATTGAACGGGCGGGCGTTAGTCATTGGATACGGACGGACATGTAACTGTCACTTTAGGCATGTAACTATGTGGTCAGTGTAATATGTAACTGTGTAACTGTCATTGTAGTGACTGTAGATGTGTAACTGTCACTGTATATAGATATAATTGTAGAATTGATTATTGTAGCATTGGTCACTGCTAATAGTCACTATGACATTGGTCACTGACTGGTGGTAGTTGTTATCACTGGAGCAGTAGTAAATAGGATGATGATTACTAGAACGGTAGTAACTGGAACAATGGTAACTGAAGCGACAGTAATTGAGAAGATAATTATTGGGCTGAGAGTCATTGAAGCGGTGATCACTATTAATTAGTCACTGAGATGATAGTTATTGGAGCGGTAGTTGATGTAGTCACCGGTAGTTAATCACACAAATCACTTTGCGAAATAGTAGAAACTCTGAAATGATTTCTCAAAAGTCATTTTCAATTTTAACACAAGTTTATGTATAATTTAAGTATTTAAGAAAAAAAGAAACGATATTAAATTCAAAGAAGCATACATTGATGTGGTTAATTGTTATGGAATGCATTGAAATCATTGTTGGAATGCATTGACAGCATTGTTATGGAGTGCATTATCACGGCTTTGTTATTGGGAATTGCTCCAGAAGCATTATGCGGTGCTAGAAGGGTAATATAGTAAAGTAAATGCTTATTAGTCACATCTTTGGAAATTACAAAAAAACTCTTTTTTGTCCATATCTTATTTTTTAGTATATTCATGTCAAAACCCCTATAAATATTCTTACAATCAAGAACTTGAAATTGGCTAGCTAGGGAGGATTAACTTTATATACTTGATCAAACTTGGGAATCATTTTGTGCAAAATAATTTGAGACGAGAGTATATTATTGTTATTTCTTGGAGTTGTGTGTATATATATAACTAAAGAATAAAAAATGTTTCGGAATAAATTTTTATAGAAATTGCCCAATATAAATTTTATTTTAAAGTTTTTGACTGTTCATCACATTATTAGCAAATGAAGTATTTGTATCATATTTTCATTAGGTTTAAACTTTGTATATAAACATAGTGTATTAAATACATACATATAATTCAGGTATTGAACTTAATACATACAATATGATGTGATGCATAGTCCAACCAATAACAGGTTATGTAAATTTTATGAATTATTAAATGTTGTAATGCGAAAGTATGAAATTTTGTTATATTAAATAATTAAGTATATGTATTGTAATAAGGAAAAATTCTTGAAATATGAGTAAAACCGTTTTGAAATTTTAAAGCAGAACTTTCATACATGTATATTAGTTGTATACTCTAACTAGAAGTAATTGCCTTCAAACTTGGAAAATACTGCCATGTGTAGAGTTCGATAATAGCAAAATATGGTACATCAATATTAGTTTTGTCCTATTTAGAAAATAAAAATATTACATACTCCGTATTAGTTTTGAACTCATAAACATTTTAAGTACTATTTATTAGAATGTTTTATTTAATAATTGTTGTAAAATTAATGTTAATATTTATTATTAGAAAGTCAATAAGAGAATGACACATCAATAATATTTCATATAGCTACTTTACTACTCCATATATGGCTTTTTTCCATGAATATCACTCCAAGAATATGACTTATTTAAAATATTCTAAAAGTGACATATTTGGTGAGTTATCAGTGACTCATCATCTGTCAGTGACTTGTAACTCTGAAATACACTATAGTGATCCTTATTTAGTTATTCGTAAACAATGAATAGTCATATTTTTGTCCATAAAACATAACTACTCATATTTTTGTGAGAGAAAACTCTTTTTCTAATATACATGTCATTTCTTTAATACAATAATACAATAGATAGTTCATCTAAAAAACGAAACCATTACCAAACAAGAAAATATGAAATTTATTTAGACATGTGCATGCTTTTATTTTGAAAAAAAAACATACAGACCCAATAATTCGCCATAAGGTGTCCCTTCGGGGACATCCGATAAAATTGGAACGATACAGAGAAGATTAGCATGGCCCCTGCGCAAGGATGACACGCACAAATCGAGAAATGGTCGCCATAAGGTGAACTGGAATATGATAAACTAAAAAATGACCATAACGACATAGGGCTGGGCCCGAAAAACCGAAAAACCGAATCAAATCATACCGAACCGTAACCAAATAAAACCGAACCGTTAACAAACCGAAACCGAATGTAAAAAACCGAACCGAACCGTAGTTGTTTGGTTCGGTTTTGGTTTTTACCGAACCGTACAAACCGAACTGATTAAAATATAAAATTTATTTGTCAATTGTTAAGCATTAATCCTAACTAATCCTAATATCATTAATAGTCTTTGGTTTTGTTGTGCTAGAGAAATAATGTTTGTGTTATGTTTAGTTTAGTTTATAAATTCATTTACACATTCATTGTCCGTAATAATGTAGCTATACGGAATGATGATAATATGTTTTACTAGTTATTAGTATTAATTAACTTTTATTTTTATTTAACTTAAAGAATTCATATTGATGAAACAATAAATATTCATCTCAACTATATCACATAGAACGTATATAATTATATACTCATGAACTTTTTTTGAACTAGTCACAAACAATGTAGATTAATAATATATACATTTATATCTCTCTCGCATACTCATATAATTCAAAACATATTTATTTATTTTGATTTTTATTTTATTTGTTGTAGTGTGCTTGCATTCTTTAATCTTTAT